TTAGATTTGTGTAATTGTTTTTTAAAACCCAACACAAGAGAAGGTAAACTGCAAGCTAGTGGTGGATGGAGAATTACAAGGAACTTACAACTGTTATTCCATATCTGCAACAAAATGTACATGTACTTCATCAAGGAAACTTAATACAGTCATGCTATTTATTTGTGGAAATGAATTTAAAAAAAGAAAAAAAAATTCTAAAGGTTTAATTATTATTTAAGGGATAAATTATAAAATTAATCCAATTATACAACTTGGGTTGGGGCAATCTATGCTTTATAAATCACAAACTGGTTTATAAAAAAGCAGGGTAACCTGGGTAACATTTAAACTCTTATTCTTTATAATTTAACTTTCAACCATTAAATGAAGAAATTAGATGATTTGTCCTCAAAAATGGCTTTAAAATGTACAAAATTTAAATATGACATCAAGTGGATTTGATACATCTTGATGCATTGAAGTTATATGGCGACATCAGATAATTAACACAGATAATATATGACATAAATTATTTTTTGAAATCCTATCAAGTAGATCTAGTGCATTAGAATTAAATTACTGTGTATTTACTGATAAAATATGCATCCACTGGTCTGCAGTTTGTAAAACAATAAAAGGATATTGTACTTTTAGAGACTTTAAAGATGATTTTGTTTTTTGTATTGTCATAATTATTATACACTGACCAGTAACAAGATAGACAGTATATATTGATTTAGGTGGTCAGTGTAAATCATCACTGCCTGTGATATTTCATGGCTTATTTGACGTATCCATCACACTCTATATATTTCCTTATGTCCACGGATTTCTTGATCACGAAAATTGCTAAATTAATGCATTTTCCACATTAATAGAGATTTTCTTTGTGACTGTCAGTTATTCTTTTTTGATCATTTATTTATGAGTGATTTCTTCTGATTGACATGTTTTTGGCCTTTCTGGAAAACATTTTCCATGCTAATGATTATTACATGTACAAGAACATTGACTTTTGATCCCATAACCCATCAGTTCTCTAGCAGTTAATGTATTACATATAAAAAATTTCCATATTTTTTCACTAAGTATGTGATTCTCATACATTTTCATATTTATTCATTATTTAGCCCTATGTTTGGTCATTTTAAATAACAGTTTTCTGATAGGAAAATGCAGTGAAAGTATATATAGCTTTATATCAATCAATAATCAAACAAAATGCTATGGTCCTTATGATGTTTCTTAAATTGTGTACAGTGGACTTAAATTGATATGCATTATTCATTAGCCCAGCTGAGCCAAAGGGTCAAGTGAGTTTTTCTGATCATATTTTGTCTGGCGTCCATCAATCTAGTTGTTAACTGTTCACATTTTTGACTTCTTCTCAAGAACCACTGGGCCAATTTCAAGCAAACTTGCCATGAAGTATCCTTGGGTAAAGGGAATTTAAGTTTGTTCAAATGAAGGGCCACACCTTCTTCCAGTGGGAGATAGTTAAGAATTAGTGAAAAATTTATGGCATCTTTTAAAATCTTGTTTTCAAGAACCACTGGGCCAGAAAATATGAAATTATGTGAAGCATCCTCAGGTGGTGTAGATTCAGGTTTGTTCAAATCATGACTCTCGGGGGTTTGGCCACAATGGGCAATCAAAGTTTTACATAGAAATACATAGGATAATTTTTTAAAAATCTTCCTCTCAAGAAGAGGAAAGCCTTGATTGGTCATATTTATATGGAAGTATCCTCATGTAGTGTAGATTCAGAGTGATTCAATCCATGATCCAGGGGAGTAGGGTGGGGCCACAATGGACAATCAAAGTTTCACATAAGAATACATAGGAAAAATCTTTTAAGAATCTTCTTTTTGAAAACAGCAAAGCCATATGATTAGTCGTATTTATAGAGAAGCATCCTCAGGTAGTGTAGATTCAAATCATGACCCATGGGGGTAGGGAGGGGACACAATGGGTGGTCAAATTTTTACCCATGAATACATAGGATAAATCTTTAAAAATCTTCTTCTCAAGAACAGCAAAGCCATGTGTAGTCATATTAATATATAACCATCCTCAGTTATGTAGATTCAAATTTGTTCAAATCACCCAGGAGTAGAGAAGGCTCACAACAGGGGATCAAAGTTATACAAAAGAACATACAAAGGAAATACCATTAAAAATCTTTTTCTCAAGAACAGCAAAGCCATGATTAGTCATATTAATTCAGAAGCATCTTCATCATCAGGTAATGTAGATTCAAGTGTGTTCAAATCTTGTCCCTGTTGGGGGTGGTGGTAATCTGGGGCCACTTTTATATTTTAACTTTCCAATACTGAACTGATTTTTTGCTTTTTCATAGCCAACATTCTCAGGTGAGCGATGTGGTCCATGGGCCTCTTGTCATGGTTACTAGTTGATTTTTTATATGCTTATCTAGAATTGTTTTAAATTCTCCTTTAAAAATGTAGCTAGTCCATTTGACTATATTCAAAAACAAAACCCAGATGATTGATTTTGAGGCAAATATTTTGCAGCTGTCAACATACAGGTTATTTTAATTTTTTTTTTCAAACTGGAGAATCTTCCTATATGCTGCATAACTTTATTTATAGATGAAAATTAGCCCCTTCAAGGTAACTACAGTACAACTCTTTTGCAGGGCAAAATAAAAATGTTTGGCGAAGTTTTGTTGACAGATACATGTAATTAAATGACATATATTTAACAATTACTTTTATGTCATATTTCACCAAACTATATCATTTTGCCCTACAAAAGAGCAGTACCGCAGTTACCATGAAACGGTCTATTGTCAAGGAATATAATAGGGTACCAATGGGTACATGTATATTTATTATTTGCAACTACAACTTTAAAATTCTATGACAATGTATCACACAATATAAACTGCTGCTCATGTAAAATTAAACTTATTTTAAAAAAAAAAGAATTGGATACTAGTACTTTTGAGTATATTCCTGGGACTGGGTGATATTAGATTGCATTGCACAGTTCTCAGGTAGATACACACTTCCTATGCAGTATTACACCGCAGTTTGTAGCCTCGGGCTGACATGTTTCTTGGTGTAGGGAATTCAGAAAAACAACACTCCTGCACTGTTATAATTACATGCATTCCACAGCTGAATAGAAAAACTTGTTTGGGTGTATAAATGAGAAAAAATAGTACTCAAATATTTGCATTGAATACATGTATTTAAATTACTGGTTTTCAAAGCATTTTCAAACAAATTTATTCGTAAAAAAAATAAATAAAATATAAAAGCTTAACTGTAAAAAATGCGTTGTTGCACAGTGATACAATTCCAATAAGTGTTTTGATTTAGAAGATAATTATCACTGTATGATTAAGAAGATAGCTATCACTGTAGATTTAGGTCAAGTTGACTCTCACACACATCCAGCAGGAACTCCCACCCAAGTTTTGATCATGAGACACACTTCCTGAAAGAGATCAAAGCAAAGAAACTTTTTTTAGTGCTTATTGAAAATTTGGATCATTGAATATATATATAATCATTTAGGAACATTCATAACAGCAGATATTTTCCTTGGAAATGTGTTAAGGATCTTGCCGAGATATTTTGCATATGCAATGTTTTGTTTTTTTTCTCAACACAATCAGTGATTTGACTGATTTCCATAGGTCTGATAAGAAGTCTATTAGGAATGTAATATAATTGTAATGTTTATTAGTTTTAATAGTTAATGAAAAGATGGCCTGATACTTTTCACTCAAGTATATTCTTATTAATAACTAGCTGCAAGAAAAATAATATGCATGAGTGAAAAGTAACTGCCAAACCCTTATAAACTTTCAAAGACTTAAATGCATTTATTGAATAAACACGTTTCTCATTTTTTTCAATTATTTAGGATATTTATCGCCATGCGTACCATTTCCTGGGAAAGCTTCTATTTCTGAGCCACGAGTTTCCACTTCCTGCAGAGATCTTCTGTGGATCAGCGTGGACCTGTTTCTACATGTCTTGTAAAGATGACAGTAAGGCTTTTACAGGACAACCATAGAAACCATTATAGATGTTCAAATATTTGGAGAAAATTATTTTGAATCATGGAAGATTATGAACAATATGAAAGAAATGGGGTTTCAGTCAGTGTCTTTATTTTCTGAGTATGCAGTGATGATTTCACCCCTTATTAAATTGGTAATTACTGCATCTGAAACCGTCCTGGATGATTAATTGTATTTCTGGTCATTGATTTTTGTTTAAATCTATTTATAGCATACTATTCAGCCTCCACACAGACTACCCCTGAAGTCCTTTGTTGGATACAGGATCAAATGAATGCAGTGATTAGTGACAAACGTCACATGATCAAACACATCACAGAGGGAGTGTTCGAATTCAATGACAGATTTTAGCCACATTCAGCAGCAGTGTTTTTAACTTGATGAATTTTCTGGACAGTTGTGCCATAAATATAGTGCTGTGGTTCTTGACACTGAAGTCTCCTTTTCCTAGATTCAATAACACTGTAATTATTAAAGCATTGTTCATGGATGATGTTTCTTCAAAAAAGCATGCTAAAGATTTATGTTGATTAGTACGTTGTGTTAGTGTTGTGGCTTATTCCAAACGAAAGGTTTTTTTCTGCAAAAAGAATTATTATTATTATTTTAAATCAGGTTAAAGAAGGAATGAACCAGTGTCTTTCTTATTGTTAAATGATAAGCTTATGCATTGTTGTAAAGAACTTGTCTATCCAAAGATGGTGAATTGCCACAGGGAAGTAATCGTTAGGTTAATTCATTCCCAACGTAAAATTTTAAAGCAAATTTAATATAAAATTTGCAGAATGTTATTGCTTTTCTTACTTACAGTAATAAAAGGCATTATAATCTAGTAATATATAGTGGGGTTTTTTTTTTTATTATAACGCCTCCCCCTTTTTCATTTTCCTCCAAAAGCATTTAACATGAGTATGGTGTTTTGAAGGATACTAATTATGACAATCGTGCATAATGTTTTCACGAAAAAATCGAAAAATCGTATTTTTTCGCCCTTGAAGTAATAATTTGTTTAATAAAATTCGTAATACAACATTAAGGTAGTAGACAGAAAGTCCAGTAAAGGCTTTACGTTAAGGGGAGTTACGTCACTGTGTACCCTTTGCTTTACTTGTCAAAGCAAGATCGCTTAGTTACGTTGCTTGTCAGAGTGACGTAATTGGGTAGCATTGGATCAGGTTATATCGCAGGACCGGTGTAGTGGACCAAGAATCTATCACTGTAGTACACATTCTGGATATTTTATGACCCAAGAGGATTGGAGAGAAATTCGCTAGGACATCAGAGTTAAAACATGCGAAGGATAGGCGTCTAAATATTAAGTCCACACTGACATCAGGAGAAATTGGATTTATAACTACAAAGAATATGTTTGGATAATTTATTGTGTTTTAATATGCAGTGGAAGATAATGAAGTTTTCTATTGGACTTTTTGTTTGTTTTGCGTGGTTCGCGCCTTTTGTTTTGGGGAATGGATTTCTAAAGTCCCCCACCAGCCGTTCATCAGTGTGGCGATATTTCGGGGAGGCACCGTGGGGGGACACACTTACGCAGAATACGGAGGATATGTCACTTAATTGTGGAGGGACTTATGTAAGCATTCCGTTCACCACTAATCACTTGTTTTAATGTTTAATGATATCAAACGCAAAATTTATAGATAATTGAAAACGATTATATTTTTGGAATAATAACCTAAATCCCTCTGAAGGATAACATAAACAGACTTTTTTCTCCGAAATCAGCAATGTAAACTAGAAGATTTTAATTTATATTCATGTAGATAACTGGGATTAATGATTGCAAAAGTAGTTTTGTGAGATTTTATATAACATCATAAAATGTGTGCCAAAATTTGTGTAGATTTATATAGAAAATGGCACAAAGACGCATATTTGAACACCAAAGAAATCCTACGATTTCCTTATATTAGTAATCTATTATTTGTGTCATTTCTATTCAAAATCGGTTAAAAATTGTATATAGATCAATCCATGCATCATTTTTTTGTTTGTGTTATGTATCCTTGTTATATCAGATGTGAATGAAATGAAACCTCGCAAATTTCTTTTGATTTATATTATTTTTATTTATTCATTTGTTTATAAGGCGATAATCGTAATATTTTGTTTATCTTTTGTTATATGTTTACTTCCTGTACACAGAATTAACAGTCGATTAAAAGGAAACCTTTATAAATGTTTTTTTTTACTACTATGGTTAACTAATTTTATTTTAAACTGAGGACGATGAGGAGATTTGACACATTAGCAAAATAGCCATGCGAGATCAATTGACTTCTACATTTTTATATATCTACCGTGAATATATGAATTCAAAAAAGACCTCTGATATCTTTCATTATATTTAATTAAATAATATTCTATGTTTGTGTTTATCGATAAATATCTTTTGATTCAAATATACATGAATAACTTAAAAATTATTTCGTATCCGTTGTAACGAAATTAAGATACATTGAAGACAACAATGAGACAACATTGAATTTAGTTATATGATTTCATAATTTCCTCTTGTCACTCGTGAAATGTCAGTGGTTGAGCTCACTGTATCAATCTACTTTTAAACGCAAGACCTACAAAATGCATTTACAGCCTTTCCATAATGCATTTTGTTCAAAATAAAATTGGAATCATGTTTAATATGAAACCAGGAATTAACATACAACACCACCACTGGCCTAAAGTTTCTCTTTTCATTGAAAACCTTCAATAATCTTTGCATTCCTCAAGTTTACCGGTGTCTATGAGAACCCCCTCCCCTTTTTTTATCAATATATCCAGAAAATGCGTTTAAATTAAAATAAATTTTTAAAAAAAATCTTTTTGTACAGACTGATGGAGACCTGACGGGAAAATGTGGTCGATGTGGGGATTACGTCGGGGGATCAAGACCAAATGAGGCCCCAAACGGACAGTATGCTTCCAAAAGGTCCACCTACATCTATCGAGAAGGGGGTGTAATAAATGTCACAGTGCAGGTCACAGCACGTGCCAATGGCGGCTTTTTCAAATTCAAGCTTTGTAAATCTGACGCCACTACCGAGGCCTCTCAGGTCTGCTTTGACCAAAATCCCCTGAAACTCGCCAATACCGCGGATCAAACTATCATACAGATACCTGATATAGACGGGGATATCGTCGTTCCGCTCCAGTTACCAGCAGGACTAACATGTGATCACTGTGTCATGCAGTGGACGTGGGTGACAGGTAACCGATGTCGTAACTGCCAAATTAAAATCAATTTCATTTTAGTGTAATCGTCTTTTAAGTATTTTGCACTGAAACTTTAATGATTAAATTTCATCCTTTTTTTAAAATTGTATCTTTTAGCTAGAGACTGGAGATGTGGCAGTATGAATGGTCAGTTGGTTTGTGGTATGGGATACGGAATGCAGCCCACATTTGTAAATTGTGCCGATTTCAAAATTCTTGCTCAGGGAGCATCTGTTCCGGCGGATTTTCACTGGCCAGATTACAACTCTGTATACGCCACCATTCACGGAGGACACACTGGATCTGGGACTACTCCAGGTAAATATACCGTAGGTTTGCAATGCTCTTGTAAGTCACAATGGTGAGTGTGTCACTTGTAAATTTAACAAAAATTAACGAAAAATAAGATCTAAGTTAGCAAATTGGGATATCCTTTTGTCTCTTTCTCCTAACAGCACCTGTTCCAACTACATCTAACCCTGTTATTGTCATCCCTACGACCACTGCAGCGACAACTACCGCAGCACCCGCAACTACTACTCCATTCCCGATCATCACAAATCCACCAAGTACAAGCCCTGCACCTGCCACAACCACTGGTGCTCCTCCAACCACCACTGACAAACTAATCATAGTAACACCAACACCAGTTATAACCACACCAAACCCTCAGCAAACCAGCAGGCCACCATCATCACTAACTACAACACCACCCCTACCACAGTCCACAGAAAAACTGGTTCCCGGCCCCATAATTCCACCAATTGCCCCATTGCCAGTGGCCCCAGTTGCTGCTGGGGGTTCCGGTATTCTTGGTGGTCTATCATTGGGAAGTATGATAGCGCCTCTGGGTCTTGGTCTAGGTGGACTGATGCTTTTGATGGCAATGAATGGAAGAGAAAACGGAGGCAACGTTGAATACATGGATATTCCACCTATGTCTATGCCTATGATTTCTCAGCCTGTACAGCCAATGTTCTCGCCACCATATGTCCCGTCATTTGGATACACTATGCTACCTGCTCCAGTGGTTGTCCCAATCGTGGAGGAGCCTATTCCAGTCAAGAAGGGATACGGGAAAAGTTATGGTAAAAATGGAGGTGGTTATAAACAAACAAGTTACGGCAGCAACAATTATAGAGGTTATGGAAACAGAGGGAAGAAATATGGTATGGGCATTGTGAATCCGGGCTACGGAGTTAATGGAGGAGGCTACGGCTATAATAAAGTACAATATCAACACAATTATAATCCAACATCATACGGCAACAATCGTCCAAACAGAGGAGATGAGCAGTTTTTCCAGCTTCCCAGCAATCACGCCTTCACCAGGATGCAATATGACGAAGAACCGGAAGTCAATAAAGTTAAAGCGAAGGAAGTTATTGAAAACCAGCCACATAAATTTGATATCTCAGCATATAGTAAGAAATGCCCGATCTCACAGCAGACGTGCAAACCAAGATACGGAGCGAATGAACCCACAGTATACGGGGCTGTTGATATAGTCAGTATGATATGCGAGCTACACTGCTCTGCACGCAATCCTAACTGCCCAGCAGAGATGTGCTCGTGCACGTGCAAAGAAGAGCCAGCAGCCGATATAAATTTACAGGCCAGAATAGCTGCTGCAAGTCTGTTTGGAAAGTAATGGTTAGCAAAATTATAGAATTATTTAAATTTTATTATTACTGCAGCAAAAATGTTAATGCAATGCAACATGATACGGAATTTTTGCTCAGTTTTGTACTGATATTTTTTGACGTATTTGAGGTCCTCAGTCACAAAATGTTATTGTTTATTCTAATGAGGTTTCTATCACTCCAGTTGTCAGTCTATAAAGTCACTATTGAATTGTAATTTTGCTAAAAGAAAAAAGTCTAAATACGGAAACAAAAAGATACCGAAAGGTGTAATAATTTTGTGAGGACTATATATTTACTATCAGTGAAATTTTTGTATGATAAGAGTTCTTTGTTATAAAACGATTGTAGAATGATTGTTTGTATAGTTGTAGATACTGAACCCCATACAGCGAGTGCCAAAAATCTGGTGGTTGGGTTCTATACTTCCATACTGTTATTAACTTTCCCCCATATAATTTTTATGTAGGGAAGAGCATACCTTTACATGGGTTTTATTTTTGTGTTCTTGTATTATTCATCAGAAGAAAAAAAAATCAAAGAAAGACAAAAATATTTGTAAATTTATCTGATCATTATCTAGAAGAAAGGAAATCATACTCTTTTTTTCCTCATGTAATTTGGAATACTAGCGATGCATCACAAGTGTGTTACAAACAATGTCATTCGAATAAATCGTTTTACTGTTGTTTATCTTATTTCAACATCTTATTTTCACTAGTTTCTTAAAGAATGCCTCGAATTTTTCATCACCACAGAGTAAATTCCACCAAACTCTTAATACAACTGTAACAAGTAATACAACACTGCTTATAAACTTTTCTTGTTGTTATACAGAAGGGAAGGCGACATTTATTTCAGTTATAATATATAACCTAACCTATAGAAAATCATTAACCTATGAACTCATTATAATGAACCAATAATACGACATCTTACCACTGAATGACGAAAAATTTTGTCGCCAGATTGTTTCACCGGAATAGGATGAATGTCACAGTAACCCTATAATGACAAACCTAAGTTAAAAAAAATGGTGTATAGTGACTGGTGATTACTCAAAAATTGATGGACCAAATGAAGGAATTCATATTCTGTGTTCTCTTCGCCCTGCTGGTGATATTTGTTGAGGTAGAAACTCAAGAAACGGGACCAAGAGCGTTTTTGAAATGTCCCACTGCACGTGCCGCCACTTTTATGTACTTTGCAGATATATGGACCACGGTGCCAGAACCAAACACCGATTACGATTCTCTGAACTGTGGAAACGTCAAGGTAATAGTTAGGATTCTTCAGATGAATAGAATATTCCCCCATATCCTTTCTTCATTAATCAAGATTTCGATAAATCAACTGCTTTATTAGATGAAGTGTTTTGCAAAAGTGTAAATAATCGTTAACAATGAAGATAGAACTAGACATTTCACAAAGATTATAAACAGTCACATTAAGGATCTGAATGACTCTATACATGTATATCCATAGTTGCAAAGCTGAGTTACGTATATATATGTCATTTCGACGTAACTGCTTCGGCTCAGTTTACTTAAACGTCTCTATGTATTCTCTAATACATATGCCAAACTTCTCCAACAATAACATTTCTATGAATTACAATTTCTTTCACGCACTTCATAAAATCTTTCAATAGATTTCAATGGGATTCAATATCAAGTATATCTACATTTTAAATATTTCAATGTAGACTTAATTGCAAAATATTTACACTCGTTATAAATATAACAAATTTCTGTTTTTGTACAATGAACCAACTTAAGCCAATGTGAGTATCACGGATGAAAAAAAAAATCTGCTCCAGAGAGTTGGTTTGAGCAAAACAGCTATAAATATGTAGTTTAGGTACATGTACCACACATTATTCTAATAACCTATATGTATAATATCTATTAGATTTCGTAATTGTATCTTAATATTGCCATTTGTAATCATATTATAACAACTAAGATACCTAAATAATGTTATTTCGGGAGAATTATTTTCAGTAATTAAGGCAGAAAATCGTGCAGTATTTGGGGAAATAAATCTGCCATGTAGTAGACTAGAATTCACAAAGAAGTATACTCGTGTTAATTAGATATAAACCCTTGGGGTGCTCATCCATCAACATAAGTAGACAAGATTGGCGAGGTTTGTGCATACCGGGTACGATTTCATGACTTGCCTAAATATTCTGATAAAACACGATATTTTCATTGAAATATATGAGATCATATCAAATGTCTTCCTTACAGTTATTCTCAAATCGCGTTGCTGAATTCAATTTATAACATTGGATATCTTTACAACATTGGATATCTTTATAAAAAAAAAAAGAAAGTAATATTAGTATCTGTTTAAAATGTGTATTTTTGACTTCAAAATTCGAAATTTTCACACCGAAACTTTTTTTTTAAATAGAAATGAAATTCAGTCAGAATTTTCATCAGAAAACAATTAATATTGGATTTGAAAAAAAAAAATTGTCTGTCTGATATCTGTAAATCAGGGTTTTTAAATAGGAATTAACTGGAATTTTTTACAATCTTGATATCAGAAATCAGTTTCTGATTTGAAAAGTGTTCTTTTCTTTTCTTTTTTTTTTTAAAAAAAACTTTATTTTAAAAATGCCTCCTAACCTTTTCGTATGAAAAATCAAAATTACGAGAAATATAAATTCGCGTAACCTTAATTTAATTAAATATAAGTTTGGGAGGAAATGGCAGTATAAATAGCGGAATCCTCTAATGAGTATTATTTAGGTAAATAGCATTTTAGTCTTCAAAGATATGCAGATTTACAATGCTGCAAAGTAGTGAAATCTCTTATTACCGACATAACTAAAACATCTTGGTGCTGAAGACTCCGTGGGTTGCGTTCAAATATCAGTTGGAAGAGATTCTTGACCCTTAAGGAAATTCCTATATTGTAGAAACTGAAAATCACACTCAGTGAATAACATAGATTCTTATTAAATACACCCTTACCGTAGATTCCCTGCAACACATTTAAGATTTAAATTTAAGATTTAGTTGTGATGAGAATAATGGAATTCAGTTGTTTGTGGCTAAATTTGAAAATAATTGAAATGACAGGTTGACTTTTTTACTTTTATTATAATACTTAGTTATAATAAATCCTTTACAAGGAAAGTCCGAAAACAAGGTATTCTTTTCCATAAAACAATTACTTACAAGGTTTTGCTTGCGAGCTCATAATTAATCGTTTCTGACCCCCCCCCCCCTTTTTTTATATATGTAAGAACATTTCAGTTACTTCCTGAAACAGGAATACAAGAAAAAATATTTTCTTTAAGGAAATAATTTTCTGATATCAAAAGGTCGATTTTTAAAAAAAAATATCTAAATATCATTTTTTGATATCGAAAGATACCTCAAACTTAAAAAAACGCTTCATACCGACAGGCATGCCATCTGAACTGTCATTCCTTGCTTTAATGTACATGTACTTACATGTATGCCATGTACTTTTATAAACTTATTCACAAAAGGTTTCTCTTTCTCTTGGTCAAACTATTTTTAGTTTAACACTTTTGAGTAACAAACACAGTGACAGCTAAATCAAAGATTACATCATTACGAAATAAGAATTATCATATGATTGAATAATTCCTAGCTCTCTGATTGTTGTAGAAAAAAATACTACGTTATGTTCACCTGCACGCTACCTTTCAGGTTATCATACGGATTTATTTTCTTTTTTACATTGAACTTAAAATACATTGAGAACTTCCATATTGATATTAGTTCTGAAAAGTAATTTCACTTTCACACGTTCCACTCAGGTGAACATAACATTCAGGCAAATAGAATCAGGGGTGGGGTGGGGAGAGGATACCCCGTTTTTATCTGAACCTAAATGTTTACTATTAATGTAGTTTGAAAATGTTCATTGAAAGTCTGGGTGCCCCCCCCCCCCCCACTTTTTAATACAGTATTAGTATATACGCTTAAAACATAACCCTTAAAAGTCATAAAAGTCTAGTTGCCTCCCCCTCCCATCACACATTTTGATTGTAAAAGAATCCTTCTACTTTAATGGACCCTAACCATACCTCCTACCCCTGAAATTAGATATGGAGTTTGGATATGGAATTCTCCTCTTTTGGGGAGCTCGTCAAGATTTTTTCAGGTAAGATGTCATTTTCCCCCTTATAATGCCCCCTTTAAAATCGATGCTAAGTGCCTGACATTTATTTTTTCTAAACCGCACCAAAAAATGGGCGAAGAAATGTCAAATTAAAGGGGCCTGGAATCATAATAAAAAATATTATTGCTGTTTTTTTTTTTTATTCAATACGATGAATTAGTCACCCTCGAAGTACAATATTCACTTCGCCCTTCAGGCTCGGTGAATATTGTACTCCTCAGGTGGCCAAATCATCGTATTAACTTCAGTGGCAATAATTGTATAAAACCATACTTTAACGGCTAACGGTAGTGTGTATTATGCAGTGAGTAATGAGACAAAAACAACAGCTTGATTTGTCAAATTTTCAATAACTATTTATTGTAAAACATTTGTGATGTACACCATTTCATATTCTTTACCGACAGAAAAACTTCAATAATCGTGAAAGTTGTCAGGAGTAGTAATGTACGTGTATGTAATAATGAAAATTGTAGACCATGCTGCTTTTATATTATGACGCTTCATCCTCACAACGTCAGGGGTCCAGAGTCAACGCATTGCCGTTTGACGTTTCTGTTTCCTACAAAACATCATATTGATAAATATTATAATCACGTGTCTATTATATGCTTTAATATGCCTTAATAAAACTTTGAACGTCAAATAATTTTATTTTAATGCAATAGTTATAGATAAAGATACAGTCAATATTGCCTATTCTGTAATTGAAGATAATATATTCAGGATGTTTACAGTATTTTAACGTTATAAACAGTAGAATTTCAGGTACGTTTTACTCTACGCAAAAAAATCCACAACTCTAATTATTCCCTCAGATATTGCACGGTAACTTGGACAGAAGATGTGGTGTATGTGGAGACTTTTACAACGCACCCAGACACAATGAAATTCCGAATGGAAAATATGCCGCCAATCGACAGCCTACTTACCTCTATCGAGAAGGCTCGATCATCAATGTCACCATAGAGGTATCCGAAAACGGCAATGGTGGATACTATATATTTAAGCTCTGTAACCCGAAGAATGCGTTAGAGGAAACACAGAGTTGCTTTGATAAGACAGTTCTGAGTTTGGCTAATTCTCCCAATGTTAAAAAAATATATGTTCCGAAAGTTAACGCCTCTAATGACGTAGTGGTACCTTTACAATTACCTACTGGATTCTTGTGCAAACTGTGCACCATGCAGTGGACATGGGTTACAAGTACGTATACATCATATTGTAAGAATGTCATGGAATCAATTATTTCTTTGATTCTAAATGTATAAATTTTTACTTTTTATGTTTGCTTAAAGAAACAAACGAAGAGAAACGAAACACAATTTTTACCTAAGCTTTACTTGCCTTGCAGACGTTGACGAGGGTTGTGAGGTTATCGAAGGTAAACGGATTTGTGGTAAAGGTCTTGGCCCACAGACGACCCTTGTAAATTGTGCTGACATTTCAATAATCCCTGAA